AGTGTGTGAGTGTGTGAGTGTGTGAGTGTGTGAGTGTGTGAGTGTGTATAAATGAGATTTTTTGGGTGGGGATGATGTGGAGCAGTGTGCTTCATGTAAAATGTTTTACTTTGAACTCCAGTGATTGTGTTAGTGAAGGGCATGTTAGTTTGATTTGTGTTGGTTGAGGGGGTATACTGGAAGGAAAATCTGCTAGATATTTTTAATCAACCTGTTCAGATGTGTTATGACAGCTCCAGACAGGTAGGACTTGAACCCAGGCCTCCTAGCTCAAAGGTAGTGACAGAACTATTGCACCCCAAATACCCCACCCCATCCCTGAAATCATGTTCCTCAGATAGCTCCATTATATTCATCTGAACATGGGAAAGCAGATTGAAATGTCATTTTACTGTCACTACATCTTCAACAATACAGCATTCTTGTGCTTCACTGAGTTTCAATTATATTCTCAAGTTTTGATTTAAGGGTTGAGATCAAAAGCCAGATTGAAATGCAAGAGTGCTCCCATTTATTACTGTACTTAATTTTGTCAGCATTACTTTTTTCAACTTGGGTTTAACTTAAAAATGTCCAGTCTTAAATTATAGTATTTTACTGGCTTCTAAAGTTGCAAATATATTTACAAATTATTTTGATACTTCAGATTTTGATGAGGCTGTTCCTGAAACTAAGCGACTAGATACAAGTTCACACAAAGCAAAAGCCCAACTTGCTTTGAAAGTTAAAAGACAGCCTCCATCTAGGTTTAAACTAAAGGAATCCTTTGGAGCTGGTGATGATTTTGAAAGTATACAGGTAAATACAACATAAATTGCCTTTTTTGGTCAGTTCATTTCTAATATGGTCAGTTAAATCATGTTTGTGCTGAATTAATCAGAATTAAATAGATAACAAAACAGCTTGGGAATTGCTATCAGGCAGTTTACAATAGAGGTTTGCATACAGAATAACTATTGTGCCTGAGAATTCTTTGCTATAGTGGTTCAGAATATTTTCCAGAGCACTGTTCTTGTCCCATTGTGCTTTATCTTCCTCTGCTCCAAACATCTTATTCGAGTTTGGATGGTTTCTGCCTCTTATTCGTTGTGACAAGGTATTCCATCTTCCAACAACACACCATAGAAAGTAATTTTTCCCAATTTCTGTATTCCTCCTTGAAGCAAAATTAAATTGGCCTCTTGTTACTGCTTCTCCAAACAGGAAGTGGTCCTTCCCTAATCACTTGATCAAAATTCTTTATAATTTTAAGAACTTCCGTTAACACGCATGAGCATTCTCTGTTGCACTGAAAATATTATAGTGTCTTAAGTTTCTCTTTGTAACTGTTTCTCAACCCTGGTGAATTGATCCTATAGTTAACACTGTCTTAAACAGTTAATTATAAACTCCTGATTAGAATGTTACAGTTGCACTCTGTCCCTAGTATTAAACCTATAATTGAATTTATCTTTGAACGATTTTATCAACTAACTACTCCATGGAATTATATATTTGTACACAAAAAAGTCCATATTCATCCACGCCCTCCAATGTTATTACATGAAGTTTCAATCTTATTTGTTTGCTTCCCAAAGGTATTATATCACAAACCTAAATTAGGTTGCATTATTTTGCCAAATTGTCTGCCTTCCTTATTTGTTTAGTGTCTGTTCTGTACTTCCATAGATATATTTATTCCATTCTTTTAACACATTCACTGTACGGTGATTTCAGTCATACCACAATCTAAAACATCCTGCAGCTATTCCTGTTTACCAAATCACCACCTTTTTCATTATAATATTTGAGGTATTTTTTCCTTCTATATCCAAATCCAAATACCAGAATTGTGACAATTATAAATAATCCTTGTGTTCCTTTGTGCCATTCCCATAATTTTCATCACTTTTAAGTTACAGATTAAGAAAATGCACTCAATTTTATTTATTCATCACAAACGTATGAAAACAGGAAACCTGCACAAATTATTTAACTTAAATGAGAACTTGAAATAAGTTATTTGTGTCAAGACTTCCATACCTTGAATGTGTATCAGACATTGCCATGTAGTTTTAGATCTACTGTTACGTATGGAGAGCTATTCTAATTCCTTACCATTGGTCATTGGATAATTGATGGACCCAAAAGTCTAATCTAGTGCTAGGCTATTTACATATGTGATTTGCCAGATAACTGTGGCCTATTTTTTTTAGGTATTATGTCTAAAATATTCTAAAATCATATTTTTAATGTTCTGTAGGCATTATTATAGACAAGTCTTTAATATGAGAAGTCTATAATCTGGGTTATAGTTTGACCAGTACGATAAAATTGAATTTAGGACCAATTCAGCCATAATCTCAATGAATGGCAGAGTATACTCATTGGGCTAAATGGCCTGCGTCTGCTTTTTATCTCATGGTCTTAGGTTTATCAGTTGGGCTAGCAGTGTGGTGCACTTACATGTTCTCGAATCTACATGTATAATACACAGGGCCCCATTCCTTCCAGACAGGAAGAACATGTATGCATATTGTACCTGTTCCAGTGCAACAAATTAGGTAACAGCAATTCAGGTTCATATCTCAGGGCTGTGCCACAACCAATCAGATTCAACCTGACAGTATTAAATTTAAACAAAGCTTGGCTGTGAACTGTCAATCGTTTATTGTTCCATTCATGACAATGCCACCAACAATCAGAGTCCACATGCCAATCAGTCAACACTCTCCTGTCATTTAGGTTACCACCACTGAATCACAGTACCAGCTGTGTACTATCTACAAGATGCACTGCAGAAATTCACCAAGGCTCCTTAGACACTCCTTCTAAACCAATGACCATTATTATACAGAAGGACAAGAATAGCAGAAGCATGGGAAGACCACCACCTGCAAATTCCCCTCTAAACCACTCACCATCCTGACTTGGAAATATATTGCTGTTCCTTCAGTGTCACTGAGTCAATGTCCTGGAACTCCCTCCTTAACAGCATCATGGGAGTCTACTTGTCAACCAATCAGTCCTGACCTCTTGTGGAGTATGGATGTTGGTTTTCCCCTTGAATTGGTATTCTTGCAATTTGCTCTGATGAGTGCAAGATGAAAAGCTTAGACAAAATGTGTTTATATTTTTCAGCAATTCTCCAGTTTTGTTCTACCAAATTGCTATTTATTTTTTGTTCAAACTATTTTTGTATCTATAGTGACGATAAAAGGATTTTTAAAAAATTCACTGATGGGATATGCACATAGCTGGCTGGTCAATGTATTGCCCATCCCTAGTTGTCCTTGAGATGGTGGTGATGAGCTGCCTTCTTGAATCACTGTGCTGGGACTATTTTAAATGGAGCATAGGAGATTGAGGGCTGACCTTACAGAGGTTTATAAAATAATGAGGGTCATGCAGAAAGTGAATAACAAAGGCCTTTTCCTGGAATTAGGATAAGGGAGTTCAAAACTACAGGGCATAGGTTTAAGGTGAAAGGAGAAATATTTAAAAGGGACCTGAGGGGCACCCTTTTCACATAGAGGGTGGTTTGTATGTAGAATGAACTGCCAGACAAAGTTGAAGATGCAGGTACAGTTAGAACATTTAAGAGATATTCGGACAGGTACATCAATAGGAAAATTTTGGAAAGGTATGGGCTAAGTGCAGGCATGTGAGACTAATTTAGTTTGGGAAGCTTGATTGGTTTGGATGAGTTGGACCAAAGGGTCTGTTTGTGTGCTGTATGACCTGATGAAATGTGCTGTAGGTAGACCCACAGTGCCATCAGGGAAGAAATTCCAGGATTTTGACCTAGCTCAGTGAAGAAAGGGTAAAATGTATCTTGGAGGGGAACTTGCAGATGTTGGTGTTCCTAGGTATTCGCTGCACTTGTCCTTCTAGTGGCCGTGGGTTTGGAAGGTGTTATCCTAACAATCTTTGGCAAAATTCTGCAGTACATCTTGTACATAGTATGTACTGTTGCTCCTGAGAGATGAAGTGACTGAATGCTTGTGGATCCAGTGCAAAACAAATGGGCTGCTTTATCCAGTTTGGTGTAAAACTTCTTGAGTGTTGTTGGAGCTGCACACATCTAATCAAGTGGGGAGTATTCCATCACACTGCTGACTTGTGCCTTGGAGATGGTGGATAGGCTTTAGGGAGTCAGGAGTTTGCTGTGGTATTCCTAGCTTCTGACTTGTAGCCACTGTGTATTTGTGGTGAGTCTAGTTTGGTTTTTAGTCAGTGGTAACCTCAGGAGGTTGATAGTGGGGAATTTGATGCTAATGCCACTGAATGTCAAAGGGTGGTGGTAGATTGTCTCTAATTGGAGATGGCTATTGCCTGCCATTTGTGTGGCATGAATATTACTTGTCACTTTTCAACCCAAGCCTGGATATTGTCCAAATCTTGTTGCCTTGAACATGGACTGCTTCAGTATCTGAGGAGTCACAAGTGGTACTGAAAATTGTGAAGTCATCAGTGAACATCTTCACTTCAGACCTTATAATGGAGAGAAAGTTACTGTGAAGCAGCTGTAGATCATTAGGCCTAAGACACTACCCTGAGGAACTCCTGCAGAGATGTTCTGAAGCTGAGATTACTGACCTATTACAAACACAGCCATCTTCCTACATGCCAGGTATGACTCCTCCATTGGAGAGTTTGCCCCCGATTCCCATTGATTCACATTTTGTTAGGGCTCCTTGATGCCACACACAGTCAAATGCTGCCTTGATGTCAAGGATTGTCACTCTCACCTCACCTCTGGAATTCAGCTGTTTTGTCCACATTTGAACAAGGTCTATAATGAGGTCATGAGCTGAGTGGCCCTGGCAGAACCCAAACGGGAGATCATTGAGCAGGTACTCCTTGATAGCGCTGTTGATGACACCTTCCATCGTATTTGTTCATTTCATCCACCATTTCCTTATTATTTACCATGAATGTCACATTCTCTCTTTCTAGAGGTCCACCATTTACTTTACCTTACTCTCTTGCTTCATAAATATCTGTGGAAGCCGTACTTAGGTTTCTAGTTAGCTTTTTCTCGTACTGTAATTCTTTTCTCCTGATTGACCTTTTCATCATTGTTTGTAGGTCTTTATATCCTGTCCACTCATCTTAGTAATTTATAGGCTTTTTCTTTGAATTTGATGCCACCCTTAACTTTGTTTAATAGATGCTGGGTACTCCCCTTAGAATTTTTCTGCTTATTCTCAGTGTTCTGAAATTTTTGTCACTGCTTCTCGAGTTCTTTGTCATTGATAATCGTTAGATGTAAACAAATAGATCATAAGATCGTAAGGAGCAGAATTAGGCCATTTGGCCCATTGATTCTGCTCTGCCACTCAGTCATGGCTGCTGTGTTTCTCAGCCCCATTCTCTTGCCTTCTCCTTGTAACCCTTGATTCTTTTTCCAATCAAGAACCTATCTATCCCTGTCTTAAATACACTCAATAACTTGGCCACCATAGCCCTCTGCAGCAATGAGTTCCATAGATTCACCACCCTCTGGCTGAAGAAATTCCTCCACATCTCGACTGTAAAGAGTAATCCCTTCACCGTGAGGATGTCTCTTTGGGTCCTGGTCTCTTTGTGATAACATTTTCTCCATATCAACTGTATCCAGACTGCTCAGTATTCAGTGAGATTCCCCAACCCCCAAAAGTAAAACTCTTAAGTACAGACCCAGAGTCCTCAACTTCTCCTCATATGACAAGTGTTTCATCCCCGGGATCATTTTTGTAAACCTCCTCTGGACCCCCTCCAAGGCCAACATATCGTTCCTTAGATGTGAGGCTCAAAAATGCTCTCAATATCCCAAATGCAGTCTGACCAGAGACTTATACAGCCTTAGCAGTACATCTCTGCACTTGTATTCTAGACTGCTAGTCTTTCAGCACTACACTGCAAACTCATTGTTTTATTTTCCCTAGGGCCTATGAAATAGGAATATGCTGTAATACTCATAAGCCTGCTGTGCTATTTCACAAGATTGTGGCTGATCTTTGACTTCAAATCCAAATCTGCCACCCATACTGGGTCTGGCCAACCCGTGATTCCATACCCACAGAAATGTGGTTGACTCTTAGCTGCTGGCTGAAATAGTCTGGCAAGCTGGTTAGTTCAAGGGCACTTAGGAATGAACAACAAATGCTTGCCTTGTTAGTAACCTCCATTTCCTACTAAAATAGCTAGTCTGATTCCACTGCACTTCCCCATAGGCCTGTGTATCTATTCTCTTTTTAGACGCTTATCTAGTTTATTTTGACAGCCACAATTGAATCTGCCTTTACCTTTAACTTGGGTAGTGTATTCTTGGTCCAAATCACTCGTTATGTAAAAAGACTTTGTTACATTGGTTTACCACCAACTTCTTGAGAGCAAACTGGGATGGGGCATGAAGGCCTTTCAAGCAACACTCATGTCCTAAGAACATTTTCTTTTAAAGTATCCTTTGTTTCTTGATTCTTTGGTCAATGGAAACTTTTTCTGGCTATTTACTCTGTATGAGTACTGTGTATACTCCTTATGATTATAAATAGCTCTCTGAAATCTCTCAAATGTCTAAGGACAACTGCAGCTTTGCCAATGTATCCAAGTAACTGAAGTCTCTCAAACCAATGCCATTTTTAGAAATATTATCTCTAACCTGTAATGCCTTTGCATCCAACTTGAAATGTGGTGCTCAGAAAACTGTGCTGCAGTTGTGACCTAGCCGATATTTAAAAAAGAAAGTTCTTCATAAGTTACTTGCTATTGTATTCTTTGCTTTTATTTGTGAAACCCAGAATGCTATTTGCCCCCAAACCATTTTCTTAATCTTCCCATCATCTTCAACAATTTATGTACATATATCTCCAAATCTTTGTTCCTGTACCCACTTTAGAAATACACACTATATATTGTGTTGCATTTCCATTTCATCATACTACATTGCATCACTTCTCATTTCTCAAAATTTTATTTCTCCCTTCTCTACCAATTTCAACATCTTGTCTTATTATCTGTTGAAAGCTATCGCTATCTTCCTTCACTTAAAACTTTCAAAGTTTTAATAAGATCCATTTTTCAAATTCAAATTTTCAAAATGTTGGAAGAAATGACATTTGTGTTTTATAGCAACCTGCTGTGTACTGCAATAAAAGTTTACAAGGCCTCTGATCTCTGGAGTAGAACATTTGTTTTCCTTATTTGGGTTGCTCTTCCTTTTGAAGTGGTTACCTGGATAAATTGAATTTGGGTTACTATTGCTAGTTAACATTAAATGGTTAAAATTTAAAAAACTATTTGGAACTGTTAGCTTTTCAGCTTCTTTTTCTATTTAGGATAATGATGAAAATGATGAAGAAAGTGAAGAAATTCAGCCAGCAGAATCCTTAATTGTCCGGAGTAGCTTGGATTCTTTACACGCTGTTGAAGATACATCTGTCCCTAAGATGAAAGATGAAGCATTAGATGGAAAACGTGATGCGGAGAGCATAACCAGCTTGCATGATGGAAGCTCATCTGCATCTCCTTGTTCCTCTCCAGTTCATAAGATAGTTGAGAGCGATGTGAGCATAAAACATTCAACTACTAGAGTCACAGCACCTTCAAGTTCTCCCACATCATTTCTTTCAATGATGAAGAAACGCGAATCAAAAGGCAAAGGAAAAGAGACTAATGGTAAACCAATCTATTACTCTGTGATCACTATATATAATTGAAATGTTACATAGAAATGGCACACGCTGCTTTTATGCATATATCCAGTACTCGTGAGAGGGAGTTGGACAGTGATTAAATAAATTGTTATTCAGTTACAATTGCTAAAATGGGGGTCTATAACTGAAGGTCTGTTTAATGTTTTGTATTATGTGGTTCCAATCATGATGATGCTTTTATTTGAGAGAAATTTATTAGGGACAAAATTTGATTTTTATGAAAAACAGACATTGCTGGGGAAACTCGGCAGGTCTGGCAGCATCTGTGGACAGAAAGCAAGTTACCATTTCAGGTCCAATGGCCCTTCAGAACTGATAGTAGCTAGGAACTGATTGTCTTCAGCATAAATACTATGACGTGTGGGATTAAAGGAGTAAGCAATAGGTGGAGACTGATCCCGGAGGGAGAGAGAAATGGGCAGACAAAGGAATAAATAATGGTAAGTCAGGGAGAAAGAAAAGCTGATAATGGGAACCGTAAGTAGGTTGAAAATGGGTTAGTTGTGCTGAAACCACCCTGCATCATGACAGGGCCTGGGCTTTGGGAGTGGTTACAGGACGTGCAAGAAAGTGTTCAGGCTCTAAAATCATTGAACTTTGCATTGAGGCCTGAAGGCTGCAGTATCCCCAAGCAGAATACGAGATGTTATTCTTCCAATTTCTGCTGAGCTTCGCTAGAGCACTGTTTCAAGCTGGAGTCAGAAATATTGGCCAGGGAATATGGTGGTATGTTGAAGCAGCAGGCAACTGGAATCTCGGGGTCATTTTTGCAAACAGAAGATAGGCAGACTGCAAAGCGGTTGTCTAGTCTGCGTTCAGTCAAATGGTGTAAATGTTCTTCCCTGGTTTGTCAATGTAGACAGTACAGTTATTGTGACAACTTCATTGATAACTATTGAAATGTCGCTGGTGCATTTTTCATTCCAAATGGCATGACTTCACACTGATAAAGTCCATCTGGTGTTACAAAAGCTGAGGTTTCTTTAGTTCTCTCTCTTAAAGGAATTTGCCAATACTCCTTTACATGATTTTTGTGATAAATTGACCACATCCAATTTGATCAACACAATCCTGCAGTCTTTTTGATAATTAATGCAGAATCTTTGTGACTCATCCCCTTCCATAACAGGTGAGCTTCAGATACTTTGACTTAGTTCAATAATGTCACTGTCCATCATAAACTTCCTCTCTTCTCTCATGTGAGCTAATCTCTTTGGATTGGCTGTTGCTTTATAGGTTCTGCATTCCCCAAAGAACCATAGATTCAGGAGCAGAATTAGACCATTAGTCCTATTGAGTGTACTCTGCCATTTGATCATGGCTGATATATTTCTCAACTCCATTCATCTGCCTTCTCCATAACCCTTGATCCTCTAATCAAGAACCTATCTATCTCTGTCTTAGATACACTGTGACTTTGCCACAGAGTGCTGTGGAAACTGAATTCCACATATTAACCACCCTCTGGCTGAAGAAATTCTTCCTCATCTCAGTTCTGAAGGATTGTCCCTTCACGCTGAGGCTGTGCCCTCCGGTCCTAGTCTCTCGTGCTAGTGGTGTCATCTTCTACTCTATCCAGGCCTCAGTATTCTTGAAGTTTCAATGAGATTCCCCCCTCATCCTTGTAAACTGCATCGAGTACAAACCCAGATTCCTTAACCACTCCTCACACGATGAGCCCTTCAATACCAAATCAACAACATGATCAGAATCGTTTTTTCTTGGCCTATTCTCACAAATTGATTTTATAATTTTGTATTAGGCTTTATAAGTCATCTCTATTGTTTTCTGGGATACAAGACATGATGCTGTCTAATCTTTAAAGCACCCTCATGTTTTCCAATTTAATTGCTGGAAAGTTAATGTTTGAATCTTCCATTTCAGATTCATTCTCCCATTCCTCTGTTTCTGTTTTAGACTAGAATAAATGGTAATTTATTGTCACTTGTATTTGTACAAAAAGTACACTGAAAAAAATGTTTTAAGTCGCCATACTTGGTTGCCTGTATTAATAACAGAAATCATAATTTTTGAAAATAAGACAAAATCCATCTTTGTTCAGTTCACGGCTCATGGGTTTGCAACAGTGAGGAAAAGGCAGGAGTCACGTTATTCTCATCCTTGAATCTCCTCTTAATTTGATAAAGTCCAATGAACCTTCATTTTGATAGTTCTCCAGAGACAGACAAGAACAGTAAGACCTTACTCCACGCAACAAAGTGTTGACCATTTTGTGTGCTCTAGTTTTCAATATTTGTTGAGATTCCTTCATATGTTTTATAGCTAGCTCACATGCATCCATGAGTTTATGAAATTTGAGACATAGATTTAAAGTATGATTTCTGACCTTTGGTTTATCAGCTATTCTTTATTTAAATGGTCCTGTTATCTCACTCCTATCTATTGGTCGAAACGGACTAAATTCTTTGAACTCATTAGGAGTGTCCCTAATTGCTAATAGTAACAATGGAATACACCTATCACAATCATTAGGATAATCTTGGCAATAAGCTCTACTCATAATCTTCAAAATTTGATGTCATCTTTCCAATGCACCTTGAGATTGTATGTGATAAGTGGAAGATGTGAATTGCTTAATTCCCAAATTAGTCAATTTATTTAAGGAGCTGCAAAATAAAATTTGAGCCTTGGCTGTTCATATTTCTTTGCGTGATCTATACCTTGTTCAAAAAAAAATAAAAATGAGCTACCTTTTCCATGCCACTTTAGTATTTTTCTTGGGAATCAGGAGATCTTTTGGAAACATCCATTATTATTAAAATATACCGGTTCTCATTCCTGGTTTTAGGTAGGCATTCTACACAATCTATTAACACCCTACTAAATAGTTCTTCAAAAGCTGATATTGGAATTAAAGGAACAGGTTTAATTGAGGTTGGGGAAATGAGCATGTCTGGCAAAATGTGACTGCATCTTTGTGTAATCCTGTCTCAATATTGAGAGACAGTGGAGCAAGTCAGTCCTTGATGCTGGATGGTATGCTATTTGTCTTTTTCTGTATTTTGTTTTGTGATCAAGTCATGGTTTTTAATTTCTTTACCTCTTTTGGAGTTCAAGATTTCCTAATTCCATCTCTCTCTGCTTTTCCCTCACTTGTACCTCCATTATTCTCTGCTTATCGTTTGCCTCAATTTTAAGTCTTTTAATTTCTCTTTTTCAAAATCTAGTTTTTAAATTTCTAACTGTATCCTAGCTAATTCCAGCTGTGACGTCCCAATTTCGTGTTTCCTTTTTCCTGATTTTATATGTTGCATAATCAGTTGCATGTAGCAACTGCTCTTTAGAGATCCTGGAGACTTGAAATGTGGCTCACTTGCTTGTGCTAGAAGCTACATTGATTCAGATGCAGGCCCCTATTCTTTGTAAGCAGAAAGAACATGTCAAAACATTAAGCCTTTTTCAACTAAAAGAAAAGCTTGGGGTCAGCCATTCCTTGTGCATTTCCCTGGCAATGCCTTGACAAATTAGAGTTGACTTGGCTGGTTGTATTTAAACAAAAACTTAGGAGTTAACTCTTCCCTGGTGCATTCCTCGTGGCAATTCATATGCCAAATGAGTTCAGTTGCCCACCAGTCAGTGATAGTTGCAGTTCTGTCCATCATGGTGTTTGCCAGCTACAGTCAACCTTCCATGAAGCTAAAAGAGTTCTGTTTTCTTTTATCAAATATTGGATTTGGACCAAAAATAGGATGTGAAGAACAGTTAATACGCAACTGTGATATGTGTGGTTGAGTAGGTAGTTCTGCATGAATGGGTTGGAGATGCAGTTTGTGCTCTGGAGAAACTAGTGCAAAATCTAGGCCACGTACCAGTGTGGTATGGAGGTAATCTGCCATATCAAAGGGATTTCCTTTCAGATGAGAGGGTGCACCGAGGCTCACCTCCTCTTTCTGGTGGAGAGATGATACAATGGCACTAATTTTGAAAATGAACAAGGGGTTTTTCCTGAGATAGTAGGAAGTGCTGATGCTGGAGAATCTGAGATAACAAGGTGTAGAGCTGGATGAACACAGCAGGCCAAGCAGCATCAGAGAAACAGGAAAGCTGATGTTTTGGGTCTGGACCCTTCTGCAGAAATGGTGGCAGGGGGGTGGGGTGTTTTGGAGATTCTGAAATAAATAGAGAGAGAGGGGGAGGCGGATGGAAGATGGATAAAGGAGCAGATAGGTGGAGAGGAGATGGATAGGTCAAGGAGGCAGGGATGGAGACAGTAAAGGTGAGTGTAGGTGGGGAGTTAGGGTGGGGTTTGGTCAGTCAAGGGAAGATGGACAGGTCAAGGAGGCAGGGATGAGGCTGGTAGGTAGGAGGTGGGGGTTGGGGTTGAGGTGGGAGGAGCGGATAGGTGGGAGAAAGGACGGACAGGTTAGGGAGGCGGGGACGAGCTGGACTGGTTTTGGGATGCGTTCGGTGGGGGGATGATTTTGAAGCTTGTGAAGTCCACATTGATACCATTGGGCTGCAGGGTTCCCAAGTGAAATATGAGGTGCTGTTCCTGCAATCCTTGGGTAGCATCGTTGTGGCACTGGAGGAGGCCCAGGATGGACATGTCGTCCAAGGAGTGGGAGGGGGAGTTGAAGTGGTTCGCGACTGGGAGGTGCAGTCGTTTGTCGCGAACTGATATTAGGTGTTCCACAAAGCGGTCTCCAAGCCTCCGCTTGGTTTCCCCGATGTAGAGGAGGCCACATCTGGAACAGCGGATATAGTGTACAACATTAGCAGATGTGCAGGTGAACATCTGTTTGATGTGGGAGGTTTTCTTGCGGCCTGGGATGGAGGTGAGAGGGGAGGTGTAGGGGCAGGTGTAGCATTTCCTGCGGTTGCAGGGAAAAGTGCTGGGGGTAGTGAGGCTGGTGGGGAGTGTGGAGCAGACAAGGAGTCATGGAGAGAGTGGTTCCTCCGGAAGGCAGATTAAGGTGGGGAGGGAAAAATGTCATTGGTAGTGGGGTCAGATTGCAGGTGGCGGAAATGGCGGAGGATTTTCCTGATAATTTGGCCAGTGTTTATTCCTCGGTCAACATGACTAAGACAGATCATCTGATTGTCGTAACCTTGTGTTCAAGACCTTAATGTGCACAAACAACTGTCTTGTTTCCTGCATTGCAACATTGATTGCACATCCATTCTTAGCACTTTAGCTGTAAAGTGTGAAGGGTCATCCTGGAGCTGAGGAAGACAATTGGTTTTGGTCTAGTGTGAAGAATCTGAGAACCAACTTGCTGATTGCTACCCAGTGGTACCTGTTGAAAAGCAGATTTTAAATGGGAAATACTTAGTTGTGATGCTCTGAATGACTCGGTAACCTGTCAACATTGATTTGTATAGGTATACTCGCTACTTACTTGACTGGTTTTGGTAGGCTATTGGTGCTAGTTGAATTATTATCCAACATTCGTTGTCCAGTTCAAGAGAAAGGAAAAAAAATGTACAATTGTGTACGCAGGCAACAGTGTTGGTCTATGCACTGGATCCCAACCAGTTCTCTGTTCCTCCTGAAGAATAGATGAAGAGACTTCTCCCCGGTTGTTCTACAGTCTGTTCTGATTGTCATGTTTGCTTTGGTGATCACTAGTTGTGTTACCTGCATGTATGTGTAGTTTTTAGCATCTAAACCAGAATATGTTTTGAAGTATTTTGTCAAATTAAACTCAATTGCCACATACCACTGTGCCATGTGCACTTGATTATTGATAAAATACTTGTGTAGTCCTTTGATTATTAATATTCTTTTAAAACAAAGTTATAAAATGGTGAATAAAATTAGGGCAAATTTATGTATGTTGACAGAAGACAAGAAGAGTGAAGAAGGATCGTCCCATGGGGTTGAAAGTACATCAGGAAAACTTAAAAGAAGATTTCCTGATTTTGGGTATGATCTCAGTTGCTTATGAGAATTTTTTTGCAAGCTTATAATTTTAATAATTTAATAATGGATACCATTAATATTACTTTCTTGTCCCAGGTGACATTTCAAACACGAATATTTTCTTAATTCAGAGTTTAAGTTTGTTTTTCTATATTGATTCCGTGACCAAAAAAGCATTGCCTTTTTCTGTCCTATCCATTTGCTTCTATACCAGGATCTTTAGTTCGTGTCCTTATTTCTTTTCCAACACCCAAATTGCTGTCCACTGCATATTAATTCTCCTCAAGCTTTAATTTACTGTTTAATTCTCATCTGCGCATTAATTATCCATTTAAGTATGGTTAGTAGGTTTGTGGATGACCAAGATTATTAATACAGTGAAGAAGGTTTTCTAAGATTACAAAGAGATCTTGATCAGTTGGGTCAATGGGTTCAAGAGTGGCAAATGGAGTTTAGTTTGGATAAATGCGAGGTATTGCATTTTGGTAAAACAAACAAGGGCAGGACTTATGCAGTTAAAAGTAGGGCCTTGGCAGTGTTGTAGAACAGGGAGACCTAGGGGTTCAGGATCGTAATTCTTTGAAGTTTCCGTCATATATAGAAAGGGTTGTTAAGAAGGCGTTTAGCATGCTTGCCTTCGTTGGTCAGATCTTTGAGTATAGCAGTTGGAATGTTATGTTGAGGTTATAGATGAAGTTGGTGAGGCATTTTCTGAAGTACTGTGTCCAGTTCTGGTCTCCCTGTTATATGAAGGATATTATTAAGCTGAAGAGGGTTCAGAAGAGATTTACCAGGATGTTGCCAGGAATGGAGGGCTTTGAGTTATAAGAAGAGATTATGTAGGCTGGGACTTTGTTCACTGGAGCATGGAAGTTTAGAGATGACCTTGTAGAGGTTTATAAAATAATATGGGATATAAATAAGGTGAATTGCAGGTGTCTTCCCCCCAGGATGGAGGATTTCAAGAATAGGGGGCATATTTTTTAAGGTAAGAAGAGAAAGATTTAAAAAAGACATGAGGGGCAATTGTTTTTACACAGAGTGGTTTGTGTATGGAATAAACATCCAGAGGAAGTGGTGCATTCAGGTACAGTTTACAACATTTAAAAGACATTTGGATAAGCACATTAATAAGAAATGTTTGAAGGGATATGGGCCAAGCACAGGTGGGTGGGACTAGTTTAGTTTGGAATTATGGTTGGCATAGACTGGTTGGACCAAAGGGTCTGTTTCTGTGCTGTATGACTCTGACCCTGTGGTCCACATTCATGTTAAGTAATATTGCTAGAGGCATGAGTGTAAGTAACTGCTCACAGTGGTTGAGAACAATTAGAATTGTGGGGTCTTCAGTGTGTACTGGCTCCCTGTGAGTTGCTCTACTAAATTTGACTTAATAGCAGAACCGTAGTCCCACATTTTCATCAATGATTCAAACTGAGCAAATAACTATGTGAAGGGTCTCTTGTGGTGCACTCGCAATGGAACTATTTCTGGGTCAGAAGTCCCACCTGCTCCAGAGGTTGTGTCATAATACATCTGAGCATCCTAGCTGTTAATTTTAAAACTTCTGACTTCGTTAACTTTATGCAGGTGCCTTAGATCCCATTCCTGATCCCTTTCCAAAACCCCATATCCATAGTTGCATGAAAGTACCTTCTATTCAGATATGATTTAGCCACACATAGAATGAGAGAAAACAAGATAGCTTTTTTAAAAAATAACACTATGTGAAAGTTCAGAATTTAGGTTTATAAGTAGGCAGTATACATTATTTATTGGCAAATATGTGCAAAGGTGTCTAACTGTCTAACCCTTTCTTCTTCCTCTTTCCCTCACCCTTTATACAAATAGTGGATTAAGAAAATCTGGTGGAAAAGGCAAGAAATTAGATAAAGAAGATCGTAGAACCTCTCTGGGTAGCAGGTATTCTGCTATAATTACACAATTATTCATCTCTAACTGCCTCATAAATTCAGATTTTAAATATGCAAATATTTGTGAAAGTTGTGTAAGCTAATGATTGCCTAAATCATTTAGAGTAGAGTTTGCATATGTCTTGTATTTATAAGCTAATCAATTTGGTAAGTTTGGGCATTGCATATAGTTCTCTTGTTCTGGTCTTCAGTTCATGTTGCAAACATATAAAGAATGATTTATATGCAATTTTCCTTCAATTTATGTCTGACAGGGGATCAAAAGAAATGCTTGAGAGCTCAGGTGGTAACCTTTCTGCTGCAGATTCAGTCACATCCATACCAACTTGCATGCCCTTTTCTTGGTTTGGTGATAGTCGTAAGGAAGCAGTCTCTTCCAACAGCAGCCTTCATTCACCTCCAAGTTCACACGACATCTTTTGTGAAGAGGACAAGGAGACATCTGGCAATAAAGTAAGTTGGAAATAATTGCTGTTTGTTCCTTTCTTTCAGTTGAAGTGCTTTTATGATCACCTAATCTTTTGATGTAGATTTGTTTTGAATAATTAGAGGACTGAAAGACACTTGTTCCCTCTCTTCACTGTTTTTTGCAGAAACAGTTTATGGATCTAAATATGATATGGTTCTAGTTGTTCCTTGATAGCAGATCCTTGCTATAACTCCTCTGGGATTTCCAAAAGGTGGAATGCAGAAAACAATCTGTTCCTTGAACTTTTTTTTAACATGTCACTTTTTTTTTAAGTGTAAGTTACATTTAAGTCAAATTCCAACTTTTTTTTTCTTTTTTTTGTGAGACACTTCAAGGCCTCATCGCTCTTTTCCTCTGCAATCTCCTCTAGTTCAACAACCTCCATCCCTTAATTTCCCTTGAAATGAGTGGTTTGCTGGGCCATTTCAGAGATCAATTAAGCATGAACCACATTGTTGTGATTCTGGAGTCTCATGCAGGCTAGACCAGGTAGGGGAAACAGATTTCCATCCTAAAAGGTTATTGGTGAACCAAATGGGTTTTATGGTCTGTATGATTAAGGCTAGGTTTTCAATGCCAGATTTTAAAAAGCCAATTAAATTTAAATTCCACCAGCTGTGAGATTCATTATTAATCATATATTTAATCGAAAGTCATGGTACATTCATTGTAGCAAGTCAGAATGCTGAAGCGCAGTTTTAAATGGGGTACCATTTCTTCATGAATGAAGAAAATATTTATTATCTATGTAGATTTTCATATAATTTGTCATATATTCTCAAATGGTTTTTGTAATCAGATTAGATGTGTAATTTTTTTGTTAGGAATAACTGCTTTTAAACTAAATTTGATCTTGACTTGACAGTAATCGAACTGCTAATTTTTACAGCTAAGTACGTTGTAAAAATAAAAATGTATTAATGTAAAATTAAACTTAGTGTTTTTTTTTGTCATGAAAATGCTATATATGTCTTGAATTTTTAAACTCATTAAAGTGAGATGTTGAAAGCAATAGAACGCATTTGTTTTGGTCAATGTCAGCATTTAATACTTTCCCTCTTCTCTGGCCCATTCGTTGGCTAAAATTGACCAAAGATTATTCATTGATCTAAATCTCACAGTCCACATTAACGGTGAAAACTAAGCTCTGCTACATTTGTAACACTGCAGTTAAAGCCTTCCCTCTCCTAGCTAAGATCCTGTCATCACCACTATCAAAAGAGTGGAATAGTAATCATGGGATGTTGGATAGGAAAAGCATGATCTCGTAATACATAGAGATAAAAATAATTAGGGAAAAGCTCGTAGGACAAAAACAAAATATGAATAATCCAAGTTAATTTAACAATTTGTTTACCACTTGTACATAAGCCAGCAATGTTGAAAAATTTTTTTATGCGTAGGGTACGTTGTTAAATTCTGGAAAAATATCCTGTTTTGTGGGTACTACATAAATGTAGCATGAAAAGACAAGCACATTAGAACGGTAAGTGGAACTCGAACAGTGCAACGTGGTATCCATGATTGCCCTGTCTATACGCTGGACATGAATGGAAGTTTAATTTTAGACATATTGGAAGAACTGGTGTGGAAGGGGACCAGTTAGTACAGATGTATTGGAAACTGAGAGTATAGAATAGAACTTCTGCAATAACTAGGGTGATAGGAAGCATAATCCAATGGACTGTAGAGTATGAAGTAGATACTGGTGAAAATCCAATCTCCGGAGATGTTGAAGGAAGGGATGAGTCACAGATGGATTATGCGAAGGTGAGTTCACAAGCTGATTAAAAACTTTCCAGTTTGGAATGAAAGCCATAGTCGTTAAATGGTTCTGTTCCTGATTTTGTTTTTCTTGCAAGTTGACATATATTTTGATTACCTCCGAGACAGTCCTTCCCAGCGCTTAAGAATATAATCTGTTTGACTTACTACTCTTATCTTTTCTTCATCATTCTGTTCATTACAACTATCATAACTTTTTCTGTTTCTCGTGTCTCATCCCACATGCTGCTTCCATGGTCTCTGCTGATCACCCAATTTGTTTCAAACTTTTTAACATTTTCTGTTGTGCTGAATTAGAAACTTTTAAACTGTCACCCTTCATTCACTGATTGCTAAGGCCTTTTGAGTAGTGGCTGTGGGAATTGATGGGCACCTATATGAGCCACATCTGCACTGTCTTTAGGTTGAAGAAATTTAGCTGGAAGCTGGTGAACTCCAGTTGAATTTCAGATACCAGGGGAAGGGAGGGGAATTAGGCAAGGCACTTTGAAATTCGTCAATGGTCAGATTCAGGAGAAACTATGAAAGTAGGAGTAATGGGAGTCCAGAAGGTAGCAATGGAGAAGCCCTTTGCACTTGTTCAACAGATTACAGATTCTTTTAACTTGCCTGAATGAAAGTAGGGACCACAAGAAGAATGAACAGACACAACAGGGCACTCTGGTTCAGAAAGCCATTCAACTGAGAGGTGTTAAACGGAATATAGTTGTTTTAGGAGAAAGTATTATTAATGGTTTAAATATAGTTTTAGCTGAGAGCGAGATTCATAGAGCCATAGTCATGCAGCACGGAAACAGAGATTTCAAATCAACCAGTCCATGCTGACCATAATCTCAAACTAAACTATAGAATCATAGAATCCCCACAGTTTGGAAGCAGACCATTTGACCATCGAGTCTATACCTACCCTCCAAAGGGCATCCCGTCCAGATCCATGCCCCCTACCTTATTCCTGTAACCTTGCATTTCCCATGGCTAATCCACCAAGCCTGCACATCCCCGGATACTATGGACAATTTAGCATGGCCAATCCACCTAACCTGCACATCTTTGGACTGTGGGCAGAAACTGGCGCACCTGAAGGAAACCCATGCAGACACGGAGAGAATGTGTACTTTCCACACACACAGTCACCCAAGGCTGGAATTGAACCCAGGTCCCTGGTGCTATGAGACAGCAGTGCTAACCACTGAGCCACCATGCCACCCGTTATCTTTAGACTTGGCTGTTTTAAGACGTTCCTGCCCAGCCTATTTTGGTAAACTGGAGGTTTTCCAGAACTCTGCCAGTGCCCAAATACACTCTAAGTACCATTCTTCCATCATTGCTGTGCTTGCTGCCCTTCACTGGCTTCCAGATGAGTAATGCCTTGATTTTAAAAATTGTTATCCTTGGTTTCAAATTAGTGTGTTGCCTGCCTCATTCCTATCTCCATAATGTCTTGCTGCCCTATAACCCTCCAAGATCTTTGCACCACTCTAATTCTCACCTCTTGATTTTAATAGCTAACCCGTTGTCTTCAGATGTCTTAAATCGGAAATTCCCTCCGTAAACAAACATCTCCAACCTTTACTTCCCTCATTAAAGACAACTTCTTAAAACCTGCCACTGACCATGTATTTGAGTATGCTTTCTCCTTAATTAACACTGTCATATCTCACTTCTGAAGTGTCTTAGGTATTTTGTTGTGTTAAGGGCACTATATAACTACAATTTAAAGTTGTAAGTAACTCTGAAGAAAAGCAGGGAATCCTTCTCATGTCTTGTAATCTTTTCTTCGACTAAAAATCCTCAGCTTGCCAAATTATTTTGAATGGCATCTTTCTTTTTGTAACAATGCTTACCATGTTTGCCAGCGTAAATTGATGTATTTTGAAATAATTAATGAAATATAAAATACTTTGTTCAGATGTGATAAGACATAACTCAAATATAGCTTTATCTGGCAGTATAGGATTTCGAGTGTTATGGCATTTACTATTTCTAAACCTAATGTGAAAGTTATAGAATCACAGAATTGTTATGGTTCAGAAGAGAACCATTTGGCCACAGTGTCTGCACCCCTCTTCTGATTCCCATAATATAATTACATACTCCTATTTCTTTGATTTCATGCATTAGTGAGATAGTTATATATTTTACAGTACTTTTCACCAGAGCATACTTTGAATATTTTCTTTTTGTTGAAAGTAATGCAATAACATACAATGACAAATACCATATAGTCTTATCATTACTGGTTACTTTAAATGGGTGTGGTATAAAAATATTGTAATCTGTGGCCATATATATTTGTAATAAAACAAAGAATTGCAGATGCTGGAGATCTGAAAAAAACAGAAACAGAACTTTTTGGAGGAACTCAATAGCAGTTCTGAAGAAGAGCCACTGGACTCGAAATGCTAATGCTGTTTTTCTCTTCATGGATGTTGCCAGATCTGCCGAGTTTCGTGAACGATTTTTGTTTTTGTTTTTGTTACATAGTTTTGTAACTTTTTTATCAGTGGTAGCAGTATCAATACAACAGAAGAGGGATAGCAAACTATCTAGTTCCGAATGCTCATAACGAAAAGTATTTTATTCCTTTGAGTAACTTATTTTTTATTGTGCCTCATTTACGTTATGATAAGGCTATATACTTTACCTATCACATTTTATTTTACTTTGTTGAAACAGGTACCTGATCAAGCAATGACAGGGAAACAGAACCAATGGCAAAATCGAGCAGTTTCTCAATGGACAACCCAACAAGTCTGTCATTGGCTGATGGGAATGAATTTAGAGCAATACACAACAGAATTTGTTTCTAAAAATATTGATGGAGAACAACTAATGCAACTAGATAGCAGTAGACTTAAGGTACAGTATTGCAAGTTGTTCCACAATACTGCTAAATGTTGGATTTATTAAAGACAAATTGTGTTGTGACTGTGTGTCTACTGAATGTACAGTAAATATTAGTCTAGAGCAAGCATAAAGTGTGCTTGTATGGACCAGAATGTTCATTGAAATCTTTCACCATTGAGACATGGTATAGGAAAAGATTAAGTTGGCTTTTCTACTGTGTATACACCTCTGTAGGCTTGATCATGATTCTCCAAAGTCACATAGGTTTCCATATAAAATGTGTTTTCTTATGGAAGATTCTTAGTATGTTTAAAAGCATGTACCTCACTGTCTTCAGAATTCTTTTTAAAAGACTCTAAACGGCATTTTTTTTTGGACATTTACCATGTGGATCTGAAAATTCAGTTAAATAGTTTCAGAACTAAGGTATTGAGAAAGTTGAATGGAAAGTATTCTAGTCACGATGAGTCTGCCACTTTAAAATATGTAAGTGCACCAGTCTGAACAATTCAGTTGAATAAATAATAAATGTTTCACGTGATATGCCTTAGGAACAATGAAATAGTGTAAATTCACTGCAAGTCAGTTATTGTTGGCAAAAGGAAACAACGTTAAGGGCTAAATGGTCTACTTCTGCCCCTGTTTCATACAAAGGGTTAAAAATTACAAAAAGTGTTACCCTTCATCAATTCTGCCTCGATCCTAAAGACCGATGGCCTAAACGTAGATTTTACCAGTTTCAAAATCTCCTCATCCCTTGACCAACCCTTCCTTTCATCCCCACCTCCTTGACCTGACACAATCTGTCCATCTTCTCTCCCACCTATCCGCTCCTCCCACCTCACTGACCAATCCCAACCACTGCCTACATGCATTCACCTATCACCATCCCACCTACCTTTCCCAGCCCCACCCCTCCTCTCTCTATTTATTTCTGAGCTCCCCTCCCCCTCCCCATTTCTGAAGAAGAGTCCCAACCCGAAACGTCAACATTCTTGTTTCTCTGCTGCCTGGCCTGGTGTGTTCCTCCACCACCAGACTTTGTTATCTCTGCATCTGCAGTTCTTGTTATCACACTACAGAATGTGATTCTTTAGTATATTTGGGCACATCACCATTGTACTGAGTATGGACAAATTGACTGTCTGGAATGGTGAACCCTCATCCATGAGACACTAATCAACATTTCGAGACATCAGTTGCATTGGACAAAGATATGTAGGTGTTATGTTTGATGTAGGTGTTATGTTTGATGTAAAGCAGGGAGACCAGACTCAGGAGCTCCTGACTCATTAGATTTGTCCAAGGGATATTTTGTTTTAAGTATGAGATGGCAGACAGCGATAGTGATTTAGAAGACTGTGCTTTCGAGAGCACTGTGGAACAAATGATCCATAGAGATGAGATGCAAGTCAGTAATATAAATCGTAGATTGATAATTGATTTTATGATTATCACATGTACCGAGATACAGTGAAAAGTGTTGTCATGCGTGCTGTACAGGCAGATTGTACCATACATAGTGTATCAAGGTAGCAGAACAGAATGCAGTGTTATAACCTCCAGAGAAGGTGCAGAGAGAGAGATCAGAATTCACATTTGAGCGGTCCGTTCAAAAGTCATATAACATCGGGGATGAAACTTGAATCTATTCATTCTTGTAATCAAAATTTTATATCTTCTGCCTGGTGGAAGAAGGTAAAGCGAGGTTGGAGGGATCTTTGTTTATGTTGGTTGCTTTCCCAAAGCAACGGAAAATATAGATAAAGTCAATAGATGGAAGTCTGGTTTGCGTGATGGACTGGGCTGTGTTCATGACTCTGTAGTTTCTTGCAGTCTTGGGAAGAACAGTTGCCATACCATACTGTGATGTATCCAGATAGGATGCTTTCTGTGGTTCTACAGTTAGATGTTTAGTCAATTCTTCTTCTGGCCATGACAAGGCTTTGAGAATGGTATGTTGTGTCATTGGCTGCAGGGGATGAAGGATGTCATGGCATCATTGAGAAAACTATGAAAGCAGAGAGTACATCAAAAATTCTGTTGGAACCAATGGTATAGATAATTAACTGTAGATAATTAACATTAGATATTTTAAATTTTATATTAATTGTTAGAATATATTTACAACCAATGAGCCAAACATAAACAAGTCTTGAATATACAGTTGGGAATTTGAACTTTAAATTCAGTTCATTGAGGTAAAAAATCAAACTAATTTATGCTAACATAGACAACTCCAAACAAATCCATCCAAGACTGTACAATCAACTTAACGTTTGCGCCTCAAGTCCTTTAATGATGTGCGGTTATAGCAAGTTACAGTGGGAAACGTTGACACACAGATGGCATAAGCAAGAAGACTGGTGCTGACTGCATGCAAATATTCATGTTTGTAATCTTGTTACAGGATATGATGAAAGAGGGGGCTCTGGCTTAGCCTTGGACATGATTGAGACTTTAATATTTTTCGTTGCATTTTCAGGAGAAAGGACATGTGGCAGGGGAAGTATGAGGTGGGAACTATTAATGAACTTTAGCATCATGTTAAAATGTAGTGATGATCTAGGGGCTGCATAAAAAGGGTACCCATGTAGATGGAATTCAGAAATATGTGTACTGTGGAGGCCAGCAAACTGATAAAGAGAAGAATTGGTCATAGCAAACACAGTCATCGTTAAGTTTAGTGCAAGAATAAAAAGGATAATGAAGAATCTAAGTGTGTCGAACTAGGAAATAACAACGTTCGCTCAGATAAAAGATCTGATTCAGCTAAATTAGGCAAGAAGTTTAACATGGTGATAGATTAATGGAAATGTGTTAGATTGAGTGCAAGATAAAATTGAAAGTCAAAAGAGTTTTGCTGCTAAAAGTAAAAGCTAAACTCGTACTTCAAAATGCTACCTGATAAAATTAATGATAACAGTACTGAAGATAATTGTGAATATAAAACATGATGGATGTGAAAGAGCTATTAGACAGTGTTAAAGGAAATGTTTTATGAATGTTTTACGTTAGTGTTTACAAATGTTGGTATAACCTAATAAATGGTTGGGTTTTCCAAATTTTCTAAGTCTTCCTGTATAAATTAATAGAATGGAGTAAGCCAGAGGGTCCTAATGGAGTACGTCATTGCTTGTTGCTAGATATCCAAAGATAGCAGGAGTTATTCAGAATTTTTTAATACAAATATTATGCTATTGGATGAGAGAGGAGGCAATCTAATATGTTCCAAAAGAATGATGAAAAGACAAAATTGTGTACCTGTAAATCTGCTGGTCTACCATCAGTTATGTGCAAACTTGTAGGTTGACAGTTTCTGATTATGTTAGTAAATATTGAAGCATGTTTGTCAACAATGCAGGCTGTCATTGATTAACCCAATATTAATCGTTTCTTTGGAAGAAATTGTTGGATAAATAGTAAGTAAATGGGAGATCCACCATATATGGATTTTCAGAAGATATAAGGTAGCTTAGAAGAATAGTGTCAGAAAAATTCAGAAGTGTGATCTCAGAGTAATAAATCTGAATAAATAAAAGATTTGATAGACAAATAAGAAACTCTTATGGTTGCTTGGATATAGAAGGAGTAGAAATGATATCTTTGAGGCTGGATGATTTTTCCTCATAAGATTCTAGTGTCAAGAATGCAGTTCAGCACATTGGCTCAGTGGTTGGCACTGCTGCCTCACAGTGCCAGCAACCCAGGTTCAATTCCAGCCTTGGGCGACTGTCTGTGTGGAGTTTGCACATTCTCCCCGTGTCTGTGTGGGTTTCTGCCGAGTGCTCCAGTTTCCTCCCACAGTCCAAAGATGCGCAGGTAAGGTGGATTGGCCATGCTCAATTGCCCATAGTGTCCAGGGATGTGCATGTTGGGTCGATGGGGGATGGGATGTTTTTCGGGAAGTCAGTGTGGACTTGTTGGGCTGGATGGCCTGTTTCCACACTGTAGGGATTCTATGAATCTATGAAATTCAACTGTAAAAGACTTCAGCAAATCATAGGCTCAGATTTATAATGATGTAACCAGAAATAGAATTTTATCTGTGAGAAAAAATACTGGAAAGGCTGAGGTTTTCTTCTTTGAAGCAAAAGAGGCTAAGGGGAGATAAAGTGCGTAAAATATGAGGGGCCTAAGTGGATGGATAAGAAGGACAAATTTCCCTGAAGGAGTTTAGTAACGAGGGGCATAGATTTAAAGTAATTGGAAGCATTTTTAGAGCAAAGTTGAGAATTTTTTTTCACCCAGAGGGTACTAAAGGTCTGAATTTACTGCCTGAAAAGGTGGTAGAAGCAATAACATCACATTTACAAAGCAGTTATTGGCTATGCTGTCAGAAGTGCTGTAACCTATAAAGCTATTGATTAAAAACAGGAAAATGGAATTAGGATGGACAGGTCTTATTGTGGTCTGAGACAGATATTATGGATCAAATAGCCTTTTTCTATATTCTTACATTCGCAGAATGGATAGATAAATCACGGAATACATGCATAATATATTTTGGGGAAGAAAACCAGGGATTTTTAATATATAACGAATGGAATGGCATAGTATATGGTAGACTTTTTTAGTCACTGAAAGATAGGTAATAAATGCTTGTCTGTCAATGAAAACATTTTAAAAAGCTATAATAGGTTTATCACACAAACGAACATATTTTGTAACAGTGTCAATACTCCACTGTGATTAACTCATTTTTAAAAATTAATCTGAGGGAATTGCTAGAGAGAGTGCTTTGGTTGCTAAATTCTGGAGTTCTAGGCAGAACAGGTAAGAGACTTTGGTCTTGTTAGGGTTGAGTTGAAGGAACAAAAACAAAGTTGCTGGAAAAGCTCAGCAGGTCTGGCAGCATCTGTGAAGGAAAAAACAGAGTTAACGTTTCGGGTACGGTGACCCTTCCTCAGAACTGTTCTGTTCTCAGAACTGACCTGAAGTGTTAACTCTGTTTTTTCCTTCACAGATGCTGCCAGAC